CTGTGCATACAACACCTACCTATATAGGGTATAATTCATTATTTACTAGTCTTTWCGATAATTATTAGTTGATTATATGGTATATTAGATTTGTTTCACCGATCGACATGATACTACGATAGTGTATAGGTGCATAATATAATAATATTATATTGTTTTGTTCGAGATAAAATTTAAATCAGAAAAATGTACCATAGGATTGATTGTACGAATTATTGGGGGAAAGCAGGTTTATACCAGTTGGAGAAAATAGTATTAAAATGCTCAACTTATTTTTCCAATATTATTTTTACCCTGAAAAACTATCGTTTTTATACAATTGTTAATATTTATAATATTTTGAAATAATAATTATTCGACAACTATACACAAAACTTGTCAATACTTCTATTTTGTTATTTTTTTAAGTATATATAACCTTGTTTTCTATGTAAATAAATAATTTAATTATTCATAAATTATAATTTTTTTTTTGTAGCTACCAAATCTTCGTCGGTTAGGTATTATATATTATTGTTACGCAATGTTTAAGCGCAGTAAAATACAAACGGCGAATAATTTAAAACAGTTAAAAAAAAAACCATGCCCATGGCTCTATCGATGCTACACATTCAGAGTATACTTTATTTAGTAGTATGTAGGTATGTATACATTAATACATATTTTGTATGCACGTATATACGATGCACCGTTATTTAAAACTAAAACGTCGTATGTCCTATATTCGGGGCGCTTTTGTCTTTCGTCTTGCCAAATTCGCATCCTACTCAATTATACTGTAGCAGTCAGCCACGGCCCACAATAATATAGAATAAAGCTGCAGATCTGGTAGTAGTATGCGTGATATGATATATGATTAAATTATATTATTAAAAATGATACGTAGCAACAATGTTGCACAATAAACTTATACGTCGCGCGACCATTTCACCAATAAGGTTTTGCTTGGATTTTTCAACTGTTTACAARTTACAATAAAAGAAACACATACCTATGAATAATAATATTGTCGCAGAGGTGTATTCAATTTACTGGGAACGTGTGAATAATATTATTTTATATGTGACTGATGTGCATCCTACCTTAACGAGCTGCCTCCGCGATCAATTCCCATTAAACTGCCGAGTGACAACCGTTTGGATAAACCGAAGGTGATACGGAGACTCGTTTAAGACTCATTTCTCCAAAATTTCATCGCACTGCACCATATTTTGTATTAACTTACTGGTGGCGACGAGAAAATGATTCAATCAAAATGTCTATAAGTACATCATCGAACGACCCGCGGAGAGACTAATTCGAAGAATATGTGGACAACACAACGACAGTCGGTTGTCACGAGAATGATGACCAACAGAATATGTCACTGTTACCACCTCACCGCGAATATGCAGTAAATTTATACAATGGTCGTGGGTCTCCTCAAACATAAGCACGGAGAAGCGACCGCTAACCATATACCTATTATAATTTATAGGTATTAGGTAATATAACAGATACCGATTATAATAATTATGGTATACTCGCAGTGCGTGGCGGGTGTATAACAAAGATATTTTCCTATCTTCTCATCACCACCGTCCTACTCGCTACCATTACAGTTTTCTCGTTATATTATATATTCTAATTTTTCGCGTCGTGTGTATAAATTAATAGTGTTATGCGATTTGATTATTAACGAACCATTTACGTGTCACTAAGTGCATATAGTCCCGTATTTTTTATAGAAACAAGTCTTTATTACCTCCGATGACATGTCCCACTTGTTTCCTGAAGATTTCTCGCCGGTTGGCCCCCGTCAAGACAGGATTCACAAARTCATCTCTACAACTCTATATCACGATCCTTGAAGGAGTAGACGGTTTCTCACACTATATAGTAACGATTGATATTCAGAAGTCATAGAATTTATTGTAAGTATTAAAATATTATAATATTATGGATAGGTTTGGAAAATTAGATCTATATAATTCGGTGGGTTAGGTAGCTATCTACTACCTAGTGGCTTCCAATGGATATTATACAATATAATATATACAATATTTTCAGTTGAATAGTTATGAATTAAAAATTAAAAATGTTAAAGATCACAATTCACATTTTATTACATTTAATTAAAGATTACAAACCTATATTCATAGCAATAAGATTATTACGTTGATGGCCGATGGGTCAACACTCAATATTGTATAATTTTTGTGTCATAATGTTTGATGATAACAGAACGTCTCGAAATATTTTTTGGTCGAAACAAGGATCCAAAATTAATATGAATAGCTTGTATTTTGGTTTTTTAATTATTCCCTAATGGGTTTTACCTGAATCACTTGTGTCAGTTATTTGTCGATAAATACCTATGTACAATAAAATAACATAATATATATCTTAAAATAGTGTAAAATCATCAAACCAATTTACGCAGAATATTCCAAAGTTCTCCAAACCTCATTGATCAAAAAGGCAGGAACATACCAGGCCATATGGACATGGTAGCACAAAAATGAAAAAATTAATAATGTTCCGCCGCAGGTTCAGGAGAACATAAAACTAAATCTAAAAAAAAACTCACGCGCTATAAACACATAACAACCCGTAAATAAATACGCAGCATAATATGTTTATTATATAGTGGTGAAGTCTCCGAACAATCACGATTCGGAAATACCTATAACGTATAAGAAGCGTACTCTTTTTTCTTTTAGTTTAACTTCGGCAGCAAGAGTTTAAAAAACGTTTGTTGAGTTTTGTTGCGCACACCAATCATCGTCATGCGTGTTATATAATAAATAATATTAACAATACAACAACGTACAAGCAGTAAACCATGCTCTATATTGGTGTTATTACCATGATGGTAGTGGACACCCTCTTGAACTCGGGAGCCAAGACACTTTAACAATATACATATTATATACAATAACGCGTGTGGGGTGCCTTAATTCCAACAGTTTTCTTGGAGAAAAAAAATTAAAAAGTACAGACACACCATACCGGTACTAGGGTCAACCAAGGTCATCAGAACAATCGCTTGCGCGCTCACATTATACTATTATAGGTGCACACCATTATAAAATCCATGTTAATATTGTCATACCTATACCTATATGCGAGCGGGTTATTGTTCTGGATGTCGCAGGGTGCAACCGGTTTTAATGATTTTTTTTATTTAGGATAATATTATTCCATTTCGTATAAGAATTGAATAAGCCGGCTTGTAAGTTTAATAATAATATTATCTATATATTATGCAGATACATTTAGGTGGTATCTATGAAGTTGAACCTTGAACTATCGCATAAATCCGCACCCGCGCGATGATGCTTAGGTTAAGATCGCACCGTCTAAGCTATCCTATATAAATAGGATAGCTATATGCTATATGCTGGGATACCTACAGCTATATAATAGATGTATAATATATATACCTATATGCCTACTCCGTGAAAGAACGGGAAAAAACCTGTGGACRCRCTAATATATGGACAAGTGGTAGGCGAAAATGCAAATATCATGCACGACAACCGCACACGATTGCAGTTATAACATACAATAATACAAGTGATAACATTATAAAATAATATACCTATACGACATTACTCTATAGACGCTAAAAGCTATACGCCGGGGCTACTACCACCTACACTCTACCCCTTTCTCCACACCACGGTCGTGATTGTCGTGACCCGCATGGCGCCACGGACCAGGTAAACGGTGACCGTCGGACGTTCGCGGACCGTCGCGTCTGTTCAGGCGCCGAACGACCGCAGAGCCCATTATATACCATGTCCCCGTGGTGGTGCCACCCGGTGGCGACGAACCTGAAGACGACGTTGGGACACAATCTATAATTGAGTGTTCGAACCAAACGTGCCGTAAGAGCCATCAGAATGATTTTTTCCCCTTTTTTGTTTACCTTTTATATAGGTATACACACAATACAGATTACGTAGGTAGGTGGTATCTCTATACAAACAGTGGCCATTTTCGTCTGCAACGACMCTCACGCCTTCGGGGAAAAAAACAACCCCTATGATGATGATAAAAATGAATACAACCACGAGGACGACAATGGTCGCAGCCATGGTCACCCGCCGAGCTCGTCGACCGGAAACAATTGGTGACAGGATAGATAATTAATAGTGAACGCTTCGCGTAATATTGTTACGTATAGGCGTAGGTGGTTTATCCAACCACTTAGTAAGCCACTTTCAAACCCTATCGCCGAAGACCTACGACTGCAACGACAAAGACGCTGTGATAATGGACGTATTGATTACGCGCGAAATACGACCCGACATGGTCGATTATRAATCGTGTTAAGACTTGGTCCAGTGGCGGCTAAAAAGTRGGTACATTACGGTTGATGTCCGACTGCGACTCCACAGTGCCATCGACCAGAGTCTGCAGTCCAAATTTAAATAGGCACTGTTTGAAGGGCTGGGGTGTTCTAGAACTACTCCCCCCCATTTTGAAATCAACGTTCTCGTAATATGCACCTAMTGAAGACTATAGTTTTTATATTTTACGTTACAAAATGTATATGCATGCAAAGGGATAATTAAATACTTTGAAATTTTTGAATGGGGACGGAGGCGAAATTGGTAATTGTGCGGGTCATATTAGACTAACTGAATAAATGCTTAGACTTCGGCAYCACCAATTTTCTTATTACTTGCAGTGAGTCCCRGTTACGCGCGATATCACCGTCGCGWTCRTAATAGCTATCGACTGCAGTAACTGAAATACTAATTTTAAGAAAACTCACCTGCGTTACTACCGGCTTGCGGACATCATTCAGTAATCCGGAAAACTTGATATGCGTACCACTGGAGAATACTCGCGACGGCGAAACGAAATTCGAAAACAAAATGCACTCGCGACGCGCACACCATCAGCAGCAGCACCAGCAATAACAAGAAGCTGTTCCACACAGCGCAGAGAACAAGTTATCGGCACGGGCGTCGGTACGAGACTGGCGTACACGTTATTATTGTCATCGCCGCGGCCACCACCGCCCGCGTACCGCGGTACGCACGCGCTTGCACGCACGCACGGTGCGTACGATACGTACGGCCGCCGCGTACAATGGGTAAAACACCTGCGACCACTCCCCTGCGACAAAGCGGCGGCGATACCCCCGCGCCGAGGTTGTTCGACCGCGCGCGTACAACACCCGGCCGTCGAAATCTCTGAAACCGGTCTAGGGGACGCGCCGCCCGAACGCGATCCGTATACGATTAAAATCGCGCGTGTCGAGACAACGTACGAGTACGATAATACTACAGCTACTACGACTACAACTTCTACAATGGTATCCATACGACTTGGCATTGTACTATACTATTCTGTGGCGACCGGCCGTCGCGGGATTTGGTGCGACGATCGGTACGATATTATTGTTTTTTCCCGGACGAAACTCAAACATTCGACAAATCGTCCGCAGCAATCGATTTTTATCCAACAAAGAACTGCAGAATTGTATTATACCGTCCGCGACCAACTGCAATGATGAAAAGCACCCTATAACCTACGCAATCAGACCAGGGAAAGACCTAGCAACTAAAATTTGGGCCGGCTTAATAATAAATGGCCGAAAATACCTTGAACACTGGRCATTGAATAATAATTAGCAATGAATATTATTCTGTATCATTGAATATTGAGCTGTACTTCTCTGGGGCTGGTTAAAATTGTATTCATACAATATAATATTGTGACGAGTGAGAGACATAGGTACGATTTTGCAATGTCCTTTATCATACTATTATTATGTACTACAAGTGAATTAGCTGAAAAACATTCGACCCACTGTTGTAATGTAGCGAGTACATAATACGTAATAGAATCACCTAACAACAACGGGCAAAAATAATTAAATATATAACAACTACGTTACACATAATTATATATTATGTTTATAATACGATAATATTATTATTATGCACGTATATTTATTATTTTATCTGCGTATACCTACATAACGTCAACACTGTGAAATAATAAAATTTATAAGCTAACATATGTTATCAGAATGATCAAATTTGATTAGTTTCGAAAATATATTTGTATTCGTCTAAACGAATCGTATAATTTATCTATATAATATTATTATTATTATTATTTTATATAATATTTAAATCAATTAGAKAAGAAATTATAACTTATAAGCCGATATAAATATGATATAATATGATACCTAATCAACAATTATTGTATTATATTATAGTTGCGATTAAAACTTTACTTACGACGTATAAATCTGTGTATACGATATACCACATATATGATCAAAGTCCTGCATTGTGGACTTTATGYGATATGCAAAAATGTTTTACAATGTTTTTACTACACAAAAGAATACATTTTTTCATTTATAACAATTTGTCTAATACACTCCAAAAGTGAACATTCCGGACTTAGTGTGTAGCATACAATGTATATAATACGTATATAATACGATATATAATGCGATACATATAATTTATCACACATAGACAATAGATCAAGATGGAAACATGAGAATCTAATTTTGTTTCGTCAATTATTAAGTGTTTAAAATATMAATTCTGACTCAAATTCAGTTAACTTATAGTAAGTGGATTCTTTATTGAAATAGACCGATGTTAAAACACACATCAGTTTAGTCTCCTGCTTTACTTATTTAGAGAAACACAAAAAACATGGTCGTAAAACTGGAGCCTRCAGTATATAATCATCAAAATTATGTATAGATAATTTTTTTAACGTTAAACCAAATACAGAAGACGATAATACTTTTATACACATGTACCGGTACCTATAGGAGATAATAGTACTGAGGTTTTCGGTATTATTTTTATTATTTTTTTGATTTCAGTTTGTATTATAGATCAGCCATGCTGCAGAAMAAYATGTGATCGGCTAAGGTTTTATATACACCCAAAAAAAATCAAACCAAAATTGCACTAATTTAAGAATCATATGGTAATTCATTAAATGTTATATAATTTTAACGTTTATRAACTCGTATCCTCGCCCCTTCCCAAATCGCATGATTAAAATATCAATACAAATATCGTATTTGCGAGCGGCGCAGCATAATATGTTTGTTTTAACGTCGAGCACGTACGCAAGTAATAACACATTCGTCTAGGTGAGATCGCTTTGAAAAATTACGACAAAAAAAAACTAAAAATGCCAAGTCACCACAGTGCGAGAAACAAAGGAAACATATTATTATTTGTCGTTTAAATAAACGAGGTCCACGAGATTACACGCGTAAACTACTACTACCGCTTCTGTAGCAGAGAGTGCTAAATTATTTATATTACTATTATGTTTGTGTGCACATTTATATCATATTATGGTCTATGAGCGAGACTGTGCGTGTAGATTGTAGAACAATGTTCGTCGTCGACCGTTTTTTCTGATCGACTGATATTGATAAGTCAACGTAAAAGTTTGTTCATTTTTTTTTTTTTAGAATTTATTTGTCATTGCGTGCATGAAAATACCGCAAAACGCTTAAAGTAGAAACAATTACCTTTACCGGGCTGTACAACATAATTATTGTAATAAGAGGTCAACGTTCAAACAATTTCAAAAACAATTATTGTGTAAAACATACAATATTAAACTGTCGATCGGTGCCRCATTTATTTACCATAATGTATCATTAAACCGTCCAAGATGTTAAAACGAGTTTGTGAAGGCCTATTAAGTACATGTAATGCAAGTACAAAAACGATTGTTGAATTCGGAAAAATTATTATCAWCAAACACTGTTTAGTTTTTCCCACAACAATTAAACGTTATTATTAAAACTGATCTACAATTAATCATTTCTYATTATAAATTATAATGTTATACACTTGTTCATTTGTATTCCGATTTATGACTGAATTAAATAAAATTACTTATTTAAAAATACGCAACTTGTGATTGTCAGTTACATATAAATTATCTGTTAATCGAGAAAATTGACAGGATGCTATTTTGACCAAATTCATAAAAACTATCTATACTTTAAATGTCTTTTATCAAAAAAATTTAATATTTTTATCATCGTCATTGTGAAAAATCCTGCTTGTGTGACAGAAATTGTAAATAATAATTATACTACCTATATTGTATTAGGTATAAATTATAATTAATATAATTTATTTTTGAGTAAATACCGACTTGCCATAGAATAGATACATGATATAAATTGGTGGTACCTAGAATTGAATCTTAATATTTTTTATAAATAATAAATGTCAGTGTATTGTATAGTCAATGATATACGTAAAAGTTTCAAGTCCGACGAATAATAATTTTAAATGAAACAAAATAACTAAAATTGTTATAGGGACTTAGGACTATTGAATAAAGATCTAATTTTGTCATGTAGCTGGTGAATTGATAGATATCCGATGCACAATTTAATTGATTCAATTTTTTTTAATCAATTTTAAATAACTATATTTTTATGCATTTTAAATGTGAATGATTTTAATTAAGTKTAGTAAACTTGAACATTAGAAAATCAACGTACCAAGTTAAATGTTGGTTTTAAGAAATGTTTGTTTCTGAGTAAGAACTCTTTACTTCTAAGTTCTAGTAAACCATTTAAAACCATCATGCAAAATACGTAAGATTGTAGTTATATAATTGTGTAAGGACTAAATATTATAACTAACTTAATATATTATTAGGATTTAGGATGTAGGCTTATGAGATGGGTTTCATTTTATATATATAAAAAAAAAATTATATCCCGTAGGCCATAATAATTGTTTTTGTTTGACGTATGACGTACWTACAGATTTAACAAAAATAATTTTTTTTCCYATAATATATTATACTTAAATACAAAAACTCATTTTTCCAGTTTTCTGTTGAACATCAAACATTTTTTAATGCTTATAAATTATGATGTATTATCATTCCAACCTTTTCTCACCCCACTGTTTAAAATACAGATTTTTCAACCGGTTTCAGTGAAACATAAAATAGGTATTTATACCTACATCAGATATTTAAAAAATATGAATGCACGAAACGTATTTTTACATGGTAAGTTGAGGTCCATTATATATTATACTTTTTTTTTTAAATTTAAATTAAATAAACCTATGATGAAGAAAACACGATAAATATACCCTACATGCATTTACCTCTTCGTGTTAACTGGTCCTGGGGTGAGACCTGTTACATTAATCCATTTAAAAGGATAATAATTGATCGTTCTCAACTAGATATCATTTTTATTWTATTTTATATATATGCGTACATATTTCTTGTGTGTTCTCGTTAGGATATTATTCCGTTCCTTTTACATGATATTATTAAACCGATAAAAGGAAATACACGTAAATGCGCGAGAAAAAACACAACGCGTTATCGCAACAAATACATCAGTTGTTCAAGGTGGAACTAATTTTTTTGTCTCCGAGTAGGTWCAGAGACTGACTACCCGAGGTACAAACTACTAATATAACACTCGACATTTGCGAGCCCAGCCTACACGATCTAGTTTGAAGCTGTCACTATTATATTACTGTTGGTCAATAAAATAATAATATATACTACCTGCCGCTGCAGTCTCAGTCGGTACCACTTTTATGCCTCCCCAGTCTCCAACTTCATCTCGCACTACAATGTAGGTAGGTAGTAGCTACAGTCGATAAAACATATATTATTAATATAAAATCTGCTGCTGCAGTTAGCACTAAGTGCTCATAATATAGTAATTGATAGCTGCTGCGGTGATGAATTCGCATACAGTTTCTCCAGGGTCCACTGCAAAATACACTACATTGCCATATGGTCAGGACCTCCCATATGTGTGCTCATATGTGCAGTATATGTGCGCGCGCGTATGAGTTGATTTATATAAATATGAGTTGTCTGGAATCTGGGCAGCAACGACACGGGTTTGCGAGTCGATATTTCACTGAATGTTTATATACAATTTATATATATAATATATCATATACACGTATATCGTATATGCAATATTGTAT